TTTTTTGTATGTTGTAAACAGGTAATGAAAATTTTATTTTTTTTTATTATATAATAAACATCTGTTCATTAGAAGGGTGGTGTGCGAAATACTGTATCTTAGATTTAAGATTCAGATTCATTACTCCTAAATCTATGAACTGATTTAAATTCATTTTCTAGTAGATCATAACCAAAAAAGAGTATACCTTACAAGTGATTTGATGATCGTTCAGCCAGATTTACATTATTCTAAAAATATAAAATATCAAATTGAATAGCACAACAGACTACCGAATAGGAAAATGTTTCTTCACTATGATAAATAAAGCTATTAGGCAATCCATATTATCGTACGGTTACATATGATCATAACATGATTTAATTTTAGATATTGTATTAATAAAGTTTATTATAGTATCAGATAAACTATATACCATAATTATTTATTTATTACAATGTCAGAAAAATACATTTTATTGATTCATGTTAAAAGTAATATTACAATTATTAAAAGTATTTCCTTGTAAAAATTTTTTAATACAGTTTTCGTCCAATTGAATATTTTGCGAATCTTTAATTTCTTGAAATGGCACGCGAGGTTTTTCAGATAATGGTAATGGTGAGATGTTATTTTCTATTATGTAATAAGCAATATGGTAATTTAAATACGCCAATGCTTTAAATTTACAATTTTCACTTATACTACCTTTATAAAATTCTAGAGCTGTTGTAAAAGATGTTGATTGATTTTTAGCTTCGTTTGTTACTACTATTAATAAATTTTATATTAATAAAAAGTATTGAAATTAATGAAAATTAAAATTCGTACCTCTTTTTTTATATATTATATCATTAATTTGTGTTAAAGTATTTTGCTGCAATACAGTTTTTGGTCTTTTATAATATGATAATGAATGTGGATTTTTATAACGTGAAATAGACATCACATCATTATCACTAATACCTCTGCTTTTAGAATATTGCACAAAGGTTTTTCGGCCACTATGATTTGAAAATTTTCTATCATCACAATTGATTCCTGTTACCAAAGCAATCTCATTCATAAATTTATTTAAGGAATTCCTTTCAACATGAGTAGATTTATACCAATAACCTGTAAATTCAACTTCAAATATTTTTAAGGACAATTTTAATATATTAACTTATAACTAAATAACAAATAATTTAATTAAATACCTTCAGCTTGATTACATGGTTGTAAATAAAATGCATCGTCACATTGTGGTGGCCTTTTAGTAAAATAAAGCTCATAATCTTTGATAATGTTTTCATTTGGTGGAATGGAAATAATCTCTGATTTGGGGTTAGAATTTGACAGTCTGATTTGATTACATTTTGATTGATAAAAAATTACATCAATACCACCATCTTTTCTTTTGACAAAATGTTGTATTTTTAAATCATAATGCTCACCACCTCGCAAAGCTAACTCAAATGCATTATGCCAGAAAATATGGTGTAACAATCCTTTTGATGAGTCAGTTTGCATTGCTGGATGATTAACAATTAATTGAATTTCACTTTCTGTAAATGCATCAGCTTCACGAGATTCACCAAATCCGGATTTAGTTAAAATTTTGATTTTGCCAGTTATAGCATTGTATAAATCTGCATAGACATTTTTGTTATTAATATCTTGAGGACGTATTTTAGAGTATAAGTTAATATGGCGTGCAATTGCAAATCTTGCAGCTTTAATTGACTGTACAGAGTAATCTTTTCCATTTTGCCGCTTGCATAAAACAAAGAATAATACAAGCTGGCGTTCTAATACTTCTTTAGTATCGATATCCTCAATTTTGCCTGGTAATTGCAGATCATGCCAGAAGGCTTCAAGTGTATTTATCCAAGTATTGGTTGAAATATTTGTTGATTTAACACGAGCAGCTTGTTGAATAGTTAGTATTTCTTGACTTGTCAGAGCAGTATAGATAAATGTTTTCTTGTTCTATGAATAATATATATAAGGTACTGTATATTATAAATAAATTTTTAATACAAAAAACTGAAAAGAATTATTACCTTTTTTTGGGGTGGCATCCTTAAAAGCAGAGAAGAGTAAAGAAAAGTTTAAAATAAAATAAAATAAACTTTTATGTAAACTATTTAGACTATTGGTAAACTTTTCTGTTATGGTCAGGTCATACGATAATAATATTATAGTATGTGGGCAATATCACTTATTTTTCATGGATTAATGGGTGATCGGCTATAAATTTTGCTACTGACGTCGCAAAATTTTAGCCAATCACCCATTAACCATGTAAAAATAAGTAATATTGCTCTCCTCTCATACTATAATATATTAATAAATATCGCAAGAACATTATTTAAGAAAAAGTGTGTGCATTAGAGACCTGCATCAGGCCTGGTTTGAGTTGAATTTTGGACACTTATTTTCGGCCCATGCAGGCTTCTAGTATGCATACCCATGAAATTTTAAGGTACAGTACTGTTTGTTTCATCATGTAATCAATTTTACACACAAAAAAATATTATATTTTAGATTGTATTTTTATAATCACTGTGACAGAGGGTTCATATGTGAGTCATGAACAAATATGTTTTAAGAGAAATAACATCTTTCTAATTGATTATGTTTTACTAAAAATTACCTCCAAAACTTAGTGAAATTTTCTTGATACTGATAAACTTATCAAATTTAATGAAACCTAATCAAAACTTCTTATTAGCTAAATTATTTTATTAAAATCAAGTATCTAAAATATTTAATTTTAATTTTAAACCAATAATAACTGAAACCAATAATTATTTCAGTTTTTAATAATTAAATTAAAATTACTGATGATTCAGTTTAAATTGAAATTAAATTACTTAAATTCAAACATTATATTGATATATAAATCATGTTTCATAACAATAAATGTTTACTTAGAAAAAAATCATTCGTTTCAAATACTCATACAAATATTATATTGAGTCATAATTGTTGTTAATAGTTAAATATAATTATAATAATTACCCATGTTGTGCCAATTTTTATCCATGCCTAGAAAGTATTATTTATTTAAAGGCCCTTTCATATCACATTTCACAATTTCTAGAAATATAAAAAATTTTTAGATTTTTATTCCCTCTCCTAGAAAACGTGGGAAGGTGTAGGTATCACATCCTATTTACTCATCAGCTTTTGGTTTACTCGAGTACAAGCAACTAAATCAGCTCTGCAAGCCATTTTGGTTAACAGAGTAGGGGATTGGGCTTTTTTAATAGGTTTATTCGGTTTATTCTGGCTATTTGGAACTCTAGAGTATTCTACTCTATTTTCTATTGCTCCAATGATTCATGAGACTTTATTTACTCTAATAGCTTTAGGGTTACTAATAGGGGCAATGGCAAAATAGGTCTTCACACTTGGCTTCCTAATGCAATGGAGGGTCCTACTCCTGTATCAGCCCTTTTACATGCAGCTACCATGGTTGTAGCAGGTGTATTCTTATTTCTCCGAATTTCTCCTTTGTTAGAGTACAGTGAAACGGCTCTACTACTACTTCTTTGGATTGGATCTTTAACAGCTTTCATGGCAGCTACTACTGGTCTTTTCCAAAATGATCTCAAACGAGTGATTGCTTATTCAACTTGTAGCCAATTAGGTATGTTAATGGTAGCTTGTGGTCTATCTCAATACAATGCAGCCCTTTTTCATTTGGTAAATCATGCTTTCTTCAAAGCCTTGCTTTTTCTATCAGCAGGTGCAGTAATTCATGCTCTTAACGACGAACAGGACCTTCGAAAATATGGGGGATTGGTTACTTTATTACCATTCTGTTATGTTTTAATGTTGATTGGATCATTTAGCTTAATGGCTCTTCCTTTCCTAACAGGTTATTATTCTAAAGAGGTGATTATTCTATCCTCATATGCAGCATACTCTATAAGTGGACATCTGGCATATTGGATTTCTACAGTAGCAGCTGCATTCACAGCTCTATATTCTATTCGTTCTCTTTATTTAACCTTTTTAGGTCGTCCTAATGGTCCTAAAGTCAATTACCTTTCTGTACATGAACCACCTTTGATAATGGCTCTTCCCTTAGCAATTTTAGCTATTTTTAGTATATTCTTTGGTTATATTACTCAGCAGCTTTTTGTAGGACCTGGTTCAGCCATCTTTAGGGATGCATAGAGGGAAACTACTTAACTTTATAGTTATAAGGAATGAAGACTACTACTAACTAAAATGGTTAACCTATATAACTTATCTATCATACTCACTTTCCCATGGTACAGCTCTATCGACTTAATAAAGAAGGAAAATATACATACATAATTATGCTGTCTACTTAAGCTGCCCTACCTTACTATCCAACCATACAGAAGCCCCTTTCTATTAACCAATCATTATTTATGACTAATAATTACCTAAAATTAAGATTAAATAGAAGGGAAACCCTAAGAAACCCTAGACCTGTGCTAAAGGGATGGACAAGAGGTATAGAAGAGAAGAGAGGTATTGAAGAGATCGATCTTATCAGACCCTAGTACACTAAATTACTCATTGAGAACAGGTTTTATCGGTGAAAATACCCATCTGATTGTGATAGACATAGATTTGAAGGTCTCTACCTTTAAGAGATTGGCAGATAAATTGTTGGAGGAGTTCAAAGGATAGTTGACCCCCTTGGCGGCATAGGTACGCCTTTAGGGGGTTGATTTGAAAGGACTAGATAATACCAAGAGACATTATAGAAGGATTAATCCTATGTTGTGGTCTAGGAAGTGGATTGATACAATAGGTGAAATCATAAGGAAAGATAGCTACACGACATTTTGCAAGTTTGTAAAGATAATAGAAGCTAGACCAAGATGGATGAATAACAACAAGGATAGGGCGAGGTTGCTTTTGGTATATAGAATAGTTAAGGGGAAGTATCCTGATAATTTACAAGATGAACCCCCTTAGGCTACCTATGCCGCCAGGGGTCAATGTAAAAATACCCATTTATTGGATTCATCATCTAGCTCTTTCTCTGATTTCGGACGGACAGGGATTTGAACCCTGGAATGCGAGAAGCATTAGCCCATTTCAAGTGGGGCGCCTTTAACCAGACTCAGCCATCCGTCCCAAGCTAAAACTTCATTTCAAAGCTACTTATCCAACATACGATCTCTGTATCGTCCCCACAGGTTTACCAAGTTTAATACCCCTATCCTTTAAGGCACGTAACGCCTCTTTGGTTCTCTGAGATGTTACATTTATCTCAGGCTCTGCCATCATAGAAAATATGTGTAGGGTTAATTTTGTAGTAGGATTTGATAGAAGTAAAGTACACCAACAGTTTTGTGTTTTCATTCTGAGACTAATAAGTAGACAGTACCAGATGTATTTCAGATATTTAAACTACTTAACTATAACTGGTTAAAAAATAAGGGAAATAATTAAACAAACTTGACTTATGATTACCTCTCTATAAAAAATTTTTAGATTTTTAGATATAAAAAATTTTTTAGATATAAAAAATTTTTTAGATATAAAAAATTTTTAGATTTTTAGATATAAAAAATTTTTTAGATATAAAAAATTTTTAGATTTTTAGATATAAAAAATTTTTTAGATATAAAAAATTTTTAGATTTTTAGATATACTTTCTTAAATATTCTAATAAACAATCTTAAATATTCTAATAAACAAATTCTTACTTTCTTAAATATTCTAATAAACAAATTCTTAAATATTCTAAATATTCTAATAAAAAAATTCTTAAATATTCTTAGAATATTCAAAATGAACTCAACCAACATAGATGGGCTTAATAATATGGATGAAAACAATATGGATGAACTCAACAATGCAGATTCCATCATGGGGGAACTCAACATAGTTGAATTTGACAGTATGAATGAAAACAATGTAGATTCCAATATGGATGAATTTAATATAGATGAAATGCTTATTAATAATACAAATGAACTTAACAACATAGATGAAAATAACAACATGGATGAACTTAACAATGCACTTGACAGTATGGATAAATTTAATATGGATGAACTTAACATGGATCAAATTAACAATACAGATGGATCTATTGATGAACTTGACAGTTATTTTGATGATTATATTGCTTTATTTAATATGGATGGAAATACAGATGAACTCAATGATATGGATGAACTTAATTATTTTGATGTTCTTAACAATATAAATGAAATTAATAATACAGATGAATCCAATGATACAGATAATGATGAAAATTATATGAATGAACTTATTGCACTTAACAATACACGTATATCTCATCAATTTTTTAATCAATACATCCAAATAAATGCTGTAACTAACAAATATCTTGGTCAAGGCAGTAAGTTTCAATTTATGATTTTTGACTTATAATTCTCATCAGTTACTTACTAATCTTTAATCTTTAGTTATTATCACTTATATAAAGGAAAAGCATACTAATATATCATATCATGAATTTTTAATTTTACATTATGATGTTATTTTTATTTCATCATTATCATTTATTTCATCATTATCATTTTCAAACTGGAAGACTTTTGATAATTATTGGGCACTTAAATTTTTAGAAGAAGTTGAAAAATCAAAGTTAAACAAAAAAAATACATTTGATATTTTAAAGGAAAAGGTATATATAAAAATTTCTTTAAAATACATCTTAATAAATTTTAATTAGATTAATTTACTTTACTAATCCTAGTACTTCACTAATCCTAAACAATTTTTTTTAATTGAATAGATAAATAAAGAACAATTACAATATGAGAAATTTTTCCAAATATACTGGCAGGAATTAATCAAAAAATATAAGAAAGAAAATCTAATACCTGGTGCAACTTACACAAAAAAAACTATCAAGATTCATGACCTTCCTAAAATTATTAATCCAAACTTATTATTCTGTTATGAAATTCTTTGTGAACTTATAGGAAAACCTTTTTCTTTTCCATTTTATAAATATACTAAAGAATTGAATCCAGATTATTTTGATATTATAAATAATCAAATAGATTTATTTACTATTAAATCAAAATTAGAAAATAATCAATATTCAGATGCAAAAAAATTTAAGGAAGATATTGATTTATTAATTGCTAATAATTCTATATATTATGATATAAATAATGATGGTGGTGCATTTTATAATTTAACTATAATGTTTAACAGTACTTTTAATACAAAGTGGAATAAAAAAATACAAAGAATTTAAGAAAGATACTGATATTTAATATAATTTTATTAGTATAATTAATATATTAATGTAATTAGGGTTCTGAATAGATCGGATTAGATCAGATTTTACCAGATTTAAATCTGATCTGACAGATCAAGATCTATCAATTTTAAATCTGGATCTGTAATTCGGATATATATTTGAAATCTGAATCTGATCTGCAGACCTAAATTTAAAATCCAGATCTGATTTGAGTTTGATCTGAATCTGATCCAAATCTGATCCAAATCTGACCAAATTCAGATTTAGATAACAATAAAAAAAAAATGATTTTACGCTTTTTTAAAATTGTTAACAGTTAATAAAAAAATGATTCTACATTTTTTTTAAAAAATCAGTTTAATGAAAAAACGATTTTTAATGTATTTTTTAAAAATCGTTTTAATAAAAAAATGATTTTTAACGGTATTTTTAAAATCGTTTTAATAAAAAAATGATTTTTAATGGTTTTTTTAAAATCATTTTAATAAAAAAACGATTTTACACTTTTTTAAAATCATTTAATAAAAAAAAAATGATTTTACGTTTTTTTTTAAAATCGTTTTAATGAAAGAACGACTTTAACAGTTCTTTTTAAAATCATTTTAATAAAAAACGATTTTAACGGTTTTTTTAGAATCATTTAATAAAAAAAAATGATTTTACATTTTTTTTCAAAATCATTTTAATAAAAAACGATTTTACGCTTTTTTAAAATCGTTTAATAAAAAAAATGATTTACATTTTTATTTAAATTGTTTTAATGAAAGAACGATTTTAACAGTTTTTTAAAATCGTTTAATAAAAAAAAACTGATTTTACGTTTTTTTAAAATCGTTTTAAATAAAAAAAATGATTTACGTTTTTTAAAAAAATCGTTTTAGTAAAAAAATGGTTTTTAACATTTTTTTTAAAAAAAATCGTTTAATAAAAAACAATTTTAACTTTTAAAAAAAATTGTTTAATAAAAAAATGATTTTACGCTCTATATAGGACAAAATGGGAGTTCTGGGACAAATTTCACTGTATAGGTATACAGATGTGTAGCATCCACCCGACTACTTTCCCAATATACGAAATTTATGTAATCTTTTTTAACCCCAAATTTGTTCTCAAGACCAGGAAATATATCGAAATGCGATATTGAATTTAAGTTTTAAATCAGGCTGGGGCACAAATTTTGTTAACATATCCTTTTACCTAAATTTTTAGTTTTCAAGTTAAAGAAGATCACCATCTTTGTTAACGCGCTGGCCAATTTTTAATCTCAAATAATATAACAAAAAAAGTATGCTATATTGCTTGACTTTAAAAAAGTCTAAGAGCACCGAGGACCAAAGTGTCCGAGTGTGCTCGCAGGCCGCAAATGCAAGCTCATTTTGCATATCAGATTTTATGTTATCCTAGATTTAATTCTAAAACTGATTCATTGATAAAATCAAAAATTTTTTCATATGACTTAGTAAAGCTAAGTCATACGAAAAAATGGATAACAGGAAAGAGTTCTAAATATTATTATACTATATTCTAGCATATAAATAATTTTTCAATATGCAGGAAACCATTCTAGACCCATTTTCTTAATAAAATCATTAGGACAAATAAGTCATATGAAAAATTTTATAAGTCATACAAAAAATTAAGTCATACGAAAAAATGGATAACAGGAAAGAGTTCTAAATATTATTCTACTTTATTCTAGCATACAAATAATTTCACAATACGCAGAAAACCATTCTAGACCCATTTTATTAAGAAAAACATATGGTCAAATAAGTCATACAAAAAAAATTACACCTATAAGTCTCACCTCTAAATCATATGAAAAATTGCTAACTATTCTGAGTACACCGAGCCTTATCCCGAAGTCTGTTAACATATTGAATCACATAGTATCCTTTAACATGCAATGGGCACAGTCCTGAAGTAGAACCAGTAGGCTTACCACATTCACTACAAGGGATGCGTGGCTTAGCCTTCCAATGTAAATGACATCCTTCTGGTCGCATGCAGGGGACTCCATGGGCCTTGCCAATATTAAGTAAGTATGGACAGAAATATTCTCCGATCATTTTCACTATATAGGGAAATAATTAATTAAAGAGAAAAATCTGTAATGGTAATATATTGTCCTGAATATATACTATCACCTAGGGAATTAATTAATTAAATAAAAAATTTGTAAAGGTATTATATACAAATCAGCATGACAAGAAGTGATAAAAAAATTGAACTTGTGAACGATGTGGAAAAGAGTGTGCAAATCCTAATAAACTTCGTGAGCATTTAAATAGAAAGTTTAAATGCAAGCCAATACCTATTCAAACCCCCCACTCCACAGGTCAAAAACCAAGGGGGTGCTCCAGTAGTCCATGTCCGAGGAAAGGATCGAAGAAGGGAGAAATCTGAGCCTATTCAAGCTCCCATTCCGCAAGACAAAAATCAAGAGAATGATCCCAAAACAGGTTCCAGCCAATCAACCCAAGCAAATAAAGAAGAGCAGGCAGGATCTAGCGATGTCATTCAAGATAAGTTTATTGATAGGCATGCAAGAAAGCCTAGAGAGCATATGAAAACATGGGGTGCCAGATTGCGCCGAAGATGGTTTGAAGTTACTGGCGAAGAACTTGATTTGCCACTAAACTTAAAAGAATGTCAGCAACTACATCATGAACTATTACAAGCTGATGATGAGGCTTTCGAGGAAAATATTCCTCAAGAGGCAGGACCTAGCGAAGTTGAGCAACAAGACGCTTAAGAGTAAGACGCAATCCCAAAGGAACCTACTCAGACTGATATTATCTTTAAAGAATGTCCAGTTGGAAGGGATCCAGAAAGATCGCATAGAAATCGTTCTTTAATGAGCAAATGGGTGGGCAAAATTCCCCA